ACAGACACACAGACACACACACACAGACACCAGTGGCTGCAACAGCATTCCAACAAGTCCGAACCCTTCATGGAACCTCATCCCAGCTCGACTCCTTGGTCGCGGGTTCCATAAGAAATTAAGGCAAGTCCGGAGAAGATGCTCCTATACGCACATCAGTGCGAAACGAACGCAGCATTTTCATCGGCCACAAGACTCCACTATCAGTACGAGCAGTATGTAGCAGCGAATCCGATGTTCAAACTAGTCTGGGCATCCCTTGTTCTCTTTTCTGACTATAAGAATTCATCAGTCCGTGTACCAGTCCTCGTTCCATACTCTCACAATGCCTGATCAAGCACAGCTACGTGTTGAAAAGGCTTATGCGCAACTGTGTGTCTTTATCAGGGGTCCAAGACCACTCACCCTCAAACGGCAAGCGTGTCCCATAGTTGTGCTTCTCTTGTTGCATCATGCCGCCAGCTCACGAGGACGGCTTCCCAAATAAAGTGGAGACTTTTGCCTCCTACTTCGCAAGGACGAACAGGGTTGGCAGGATTTGCTTTTGGAAGGAGTTTCTGTTGCTCATCCACAGAAAGTGCTAGGGGCACGTGCTTGGAATAATGCTTCAGCTGCGTACAGTCGTTCATTGCACATGACGTGACATGTAACCATGGGAAGACTGACACGAAGCCAGTTGCAGGCTTGCAGTCCAGGGCGCTGCTGTCATTGCCAACACCTCCGGCCAATGCAGAACACACCCTGCATCTCTGCAGGTTGCCCGCAATTTCTGAGAGAAACAATCTTGCTTCAAGTAGTCTTATGATCGGCTGGTCCTGCCAACCATGTGCGATGAAAGGAGAAGATGATAGGATGGTGCTGGTTCATAGTGAGGCTGCTGAGCAAGCCCTTGCAGTATTCGATGCCCACCTCTCCCACGATGTGGATCTGGCCTCGGCTTCCATCGGCAATCATGAATCACAGTCATAGAGGGCCGGGGATTTTTTGGCTCCTGCATGGCAGTCTCCCAAAGCGATCACACATGGCAGGTGGACTGATCCTGGAGACTTCGGCTGCCACTGGGCCCGGACACACATCACACCCGTGGTTAGGTCCGATACTCCTGATACTCGGACTGCGCGTAGACTGCAAAACTTGTGTTGCTCGACCGCCTGAAACGTGCGGCCGGCCCAATCACCCACCTGCTACCTCCAGAACCGGATAGCTAATGTCGTGCTTGCACCATATAGCGACCAAATGGGTTCCAGGTTCTACGTTCCTACTGCGACTCAATTTCTACGAAACAGCTTTTGCATGCGCACGAATCGCACGAATGCCACCACTCCCACCATGCGTTTCATCACAGTGGCATGAGGTGCAGCAGACCATTCATTATGCCCTTTGGTTTCGCGGTCTGCCTGCAACCGGGCAGCTGATCGTGAAGCAGTCACGGCCCGATTCAGCACAAAGCTTCACCATGTTCCTCCAGGAGGCGCCGCGAATGACCACAGAAAATGTCCGCAAGTATCGCTTCGCATGATAGAGACACCACCTCCGGTCTGATTGCCTGCTCTGCGAGCTTGCTGCCATGTAGCGGCTGGTTGTAGCCGGAGTTGTTCGGGAGAAGTGGCTCAATCGGTCGGATCATTGCATAGACAGCGGGGTGGTGCACCACCTTAATACCGAAGAGATGCACAAGAGCCATGGAGGACCATGCTCCGTGCAGGGGACGCCTCTAAGGCTAGAGCTCGCCACCAGCCACCCGGCGCGAGCTGCTCCCAATTCGGGGTCTCCCACGTCTCCATCGCCTTAGTGAGGATCGTCAGGAGCCACCTCGAGGATCCTTCATCTTTGCCTTTGGAGCGCGTGTCTGCGACACCGCCGCGGCTCGGGCCAGTGCTTCGGACAGCTTTTTGCTGCTTCAGATGCACCGAGACGGTGACAGGTCTGACCAGGCATTCATGCAGCCAGGCATTCTTTCAGCAAGTCCCCTGCGTTTTTGCCATTCAGCTCTTTTCCGCTGGCATTCAGCTTGACTGAAATTAAGGCAAGCATGGCTTTGCATTCTGGCTTCCAGGCGCGGGCGACTTTTGGACTGACCAGCCGAGGGTCGGAATTTCTTGGGTTCTCAGAGCTCTGCTTGGCCTGTGGATGCTTGCCGGCCCATGACTGGCTTCGTCAATCTGTCGTCGGAGTCGCGAGGAGGCAGTGCTAGACATTTGCGTGCTGAAGGCGAAGATGCTCTCTGTGCTCCTTTGCCCCTGTGCCACTGTGCCAGGTCTTGCAGCACTTGGAACACCTTTGCCGACACATACAACGTACATCTGCACATGACGGGCTGCAACTTGTGGGTCAACTCTGAAGCAAACCTTTGACGAAGTACGGACCCTGGTACAAAATACAGTTGCACGAGAGCTTGCCCGACCACCTAAGAGTTACACCGGCTACTGCGGTGCACACCACTTTAGGACTTGGGGGGTAAATCTACGAAGGCAGTAGAGTGCTCATCGCATCATTGCCAAATCACGAAACAGACTTGGCTCGCTGCATGTTGCAAGTAGCAGCGTGATCAAAACCCATGTTGACCCGAACCATGCTGAACGACATAATCATCATCATATCCCTCTGCGCAGGGCACTCTGTTGTTCATTCACAAAAGGTTGCCGGTTGCTGTAGCCTGTGCTCACCGGGAAGGGAGCACGAAGGCCATGGCCAGGCAACTCGCGACCTTGGTGAAACAAAATGTTTGAGACTGTCCGAAATGAAAAGGAGTGCCCTTGCCTCACTGCTAATGGTCGCCGATGTCGTGGTGAATGAGTTTGACCCCCTGCGAAGACGACAGCGAATCAACACGAGCAACAACCAGGGGCCAGCTCGCTAGATGCATCTGGACGAGACTCAAACTCATCAAGGCCTTGTCCTTGAAGATCACCTCAGCTATAACATTTAGTTGACAATGCTTGGGAATGAATCATGATTACGTGCCCGTGCTGCCAGTCCAAGCACATGCAAATTGAGCAACGCACTAGACTGGCATTCATACACCACATGGAGCCGCGGCAAAACCATTGTTTCGGGCAGCGGTCTCTGGCACTCTTGGTTTCATACAGAACTATTTGCAGACCTGTTCAACCTCGTCACGTGTGCTGCTGGGGTTGCCGAGACTCCTCAAAACAGATCCCAACCATCATGCCAACCAAGATGCTTACACACACCACGGGAGAGTAATAAAATTTGAAAGTCAGCAGTATCTGCCGCGATAGCACGACGAACTCCCAGTCGCCGCGACAAGAGATTAGAACAGAGCTCTTGCCTGAGAGCTGTACCGTTATACCTTATTTCGCTTCTGGCACATAAAAATTTGAGCTGCAGAACTCCGTCTTGTCCCTTTTGGCTGCTTCGGACTGGGAGTTCCTCGGGCTGTTGCTTTTGCAGCAGAGACTGCGGATTGCTACCATCTTATACCATCTTGCTGTTATTGTGCTCCGTTGTGCAAGCGCCTTGGTTGTAATGGTGGTTGGGCTTTGATGAGTGTCGTGCTTTGGCGGCAAGCGTGGCTTCTGCTGCTCCTCCTACTACTACTACTACTACTACTACTACTACTACTCCTCCAGCTGGACTGGACAGGTTCGACTGATGCCAAAACAGCCAGGTGGCACCGCAAAGGATCGAGTTGCGGTTCGTCAGATCCTAGGTGACCATCAGCTGCTTCTAGCTGGGTGCGCAGCACGAGTTCACGCATGATTTAAGGCTCTTGCTGTGTCAAACGCCTCCGAAAGGCTTTCGTTGGCTTGCCACATCCTGCGATGTTGTCGTCATTGTGCAGGCACCACACTGCAGCTTTGGCTTCATGAGCATAGTTGAAAGTTGGAGCGGCTGCCTGGGGCCTTGAACAAGCCTGGAGCACACATCTCCTGAAGGATTTCTTTCTCCAGCCCTTGCCGACGAAGAGCTTCACCTCTTCTGGAAGGGCTGCGGCAGCCGCTGCAAATGCTGTGCGCCATGTGATGCCTCGTAGGAGCCAGAAGCATCTTCAGGCCTCATCAGCATGCTGTGTACTGCACCCACATGGAACCAAGGAGAAACGGACGGAAAGGCCCATCCATTGATGGGTGCCCGAAAAACTCGGAGATTGACCCTGACAGCTCGAGGTGACACCTCTGCCCATCGGCGCGGAGGCGGAGAGTTACCTTAACGACCGCATCATCCCGGCCGTCACTTCTGCAAAGCCCAGCCAAGTCACAACGGCAGCAGCTTCACTTGATTGAGGCTCGCACCGGGCTACACCCGGGTGCAGCTACAGCAAACGGGTCGCTCTCGAATTCGTCCTGTAGCGGATGGGCTAAGCCCACCAGCCACAAGACCTGGACAACGCAAACCCACATGCGTTCTCCGAGAGAGACTCTGCAGCACGCTTCTCCAACATCTCTGGTTTGAGGTGCCCTGCTCGGCGGTTCGAAGCAGTGAGTGTTGTCTTCGGCTCCTCACGCGAATTGAAGGTTCCCCGGGTTCACTAGGTACTACTCGCTTCGAGCCCGTCGACGTCACGCAGGCTTAATGCAGAAGCCCAAGGTCGAAGCCCATATGGTTTTTTTGACGAAGTAATCCGGATTGTTTGCTGCGCTGTAGTGGTGGCCAGACCCGGCTTACTGCCCAGGTTGCAGTCGTTCTGGCTGGAACGGAACAGAAGTTGCTCAGCAGTAGCTGCAAATGCAATAGCAGATACTTGCCGGAAGTCCCGTTTGCTTTCACACCAGCAGCAGTGGCAACAGCTTTCTTCCGCTGTTGGGGTAATTTCCGCTTGCTCGAGTTACGGGCCATGGCAATTCGTCGGCGCAGGGTAGGGCACTAATGACGATCGCAAGCTGTCAAACGGAGACGGTTGACTACATAGCATACATACATACATACGTTACATA